TGTGTGTGTGTGTGTGTGTGTGTGTGTGTGTGTGTGTGTGTGTAAGGAAGAGATACATAGTGCAAAAGACCAAATAATTCTCATTTTGCTGTTTTCCACTGTCACACTGGGCTTTGGGGGAGGCTATTTTGGTCTATTTTTCATCACTCCATACACACGCAGGGCTGCTGTACTGTAATTCCACGGGCTTACGTGGTTCTTTAAATCGCTGTTCAGTTTCCAGAGGTGAGGTTTTGTCTTGCCCACGCTCCCTAGCTCACTGTGGCTCAGCCTATACCCTTCAAGTGAGCACTTTGCTACTGTGAATAAACAATGATTTCCTCCTCTCAACCTTCTCAAATGAGCGTTTACTGGTACTGGTGAGTTAATACCGCCCTACGACCGTGATCAATTCCTGCAACACGGGGAAGTTCAGGCACTTCCAAATTTTAATTTCTCCTAAAATGAGCTTATAACTTCCTACCATCCCATTTGGATGCTTTTACAACTGGCAGTGTTTTAACTTTATTACTTATAAAGAACAACTTTCTGAGACACATTTTTGGCTTGGAAATTCCACCTATTTCAATGCTCTGCAACAGCTAAAAATATGTTGCAACTTCTTCTCCTATAGACCTTCTTAAATGTCCTTTCAATTTGGACTCTTTGGATCCCCCCGCTCCTTTCAGTGTATTGATTTGGACTGAGGGATCCCAAGAAACATGAGATTTCCTTGGGATCATAAACTCAGCTTGTGATGTAGCTGTTCAGGGCAGTGAAAGAACCACATGGTTGGTATTTGGAAGCAATTTCAGCTTTATTCCCATTTCTGTCTCTGAATGAATGAATGTCTACCTCTACAATCAAGGAGAACCTCTTTTTTACATTCAAATAGCAGCCCTATATTGCAGAGGTAAAACAAAAGGTCACCTCCAATACCTCTTGTGCTTGCCTCCAATACCTCTGCCATCAACTGTAATGATAAGGTACTAAGACAGAAAGAAACTAGTGTAAAAACATATAGCGACTGAAACCATGGGCTTTTTAGGTGGTTGCTGTCATAATGGATGATTTTATTACTAGGAACCCAAGTTGTCTGTTCAGTAACACTTCTAATTCATTATCTAAAAAAAAAAAAACCTTTGACAATCAGACATTTCTGCCTAAAGTATCAACTTGTCCTTAAAATAGAAGGAAAAACACATCAGACTGGGTCTGTCTTGTGGTCCATGTGTGAAGTCACTATAATTTGATATCAGCAAATACCCTTATAAATTAAACTCACCACACTGAATCCTTGGTGAGTTTGGAATTCACGTTCCCATCTTCTTCCAGGAAAAAGTCCATTTGCAAATTGGCATCATTATCATGGGCAGAGAAGTAATTTGTAACGACTCTTGCTGGTATTCCAAGGCATCGTAAAACTACAGGAAAGAAGGACAGGCCCCTATGAACACAGCACCAACATTTAATAAACACATAGCAAAAACATCCCTTCTCATGTGGGACTTTCTTCTTTCCCAACACAAAAAGCCCCTTTGGACATGTCCTCCGATGGGTCATACTGAAGAAGGTGACTGTTCAACCCACAGGGTCTGCAGAGAGAAATCTCACCACGTGACCCTTCAGATCTGCACTTGTTGCCAGATGAAGCCAACTGGGACAGAATCCAACAACAGGGTTCTAATTGTTTAGTTTCTAATCATTTGATCATCAAAGTAGTATTACTATAGTCCAGTTAACGGGCCTATGTTCCTGAAATTAAAATTTGAAGAAAAGCAGCTAATGGAGAGTTGGGAATTTCCAGAGCAGGTGCTCAGTGGGGTTTGCTCTCCTGGCTGGAATTTGCTCTTGTGACACTCAGTGGAGGGTGTCACCACAGATTCATCTTAATTGTTAGATAATAAATTACCTGGATGCATATCTTGCCATATGTACCTATTGACTAAACTTAATCCAAACGCCCTCCCGGCTCCCAGGACTCCAGACATCAGGGTTCATTGAAAATAATTTGGCTGACAATTTCAAGATTAATGACTTGGCTTGCCTTTTTTTTCCCCCTTCCCTTGGAATAGTTTAGCATTTTTAACCAAAGCCTATCCACCACTTTCAATAGGGCGAACTTGAAAGTCCAGGCTTGGGTCCAGTAGAGACTCCAGTGTCCTTCTCCTTAAATGACTTGATCTTAACACCCAAGCAACAAGGGTGGCAGCCACGCCTGCTCTCCCACTCCCGTCTTCCTCTGCCGATCCACGTCCACAGCCCCTGTTTGCTCACGACCTTATCCATCACATGATTGGCGCTTTTGTTCACAGAGCAAGACTTGTTCTAGTGTCTGCCTTACTCACAATTTTAAGGGAGGCAAAGCTTGACTTTGGGGCACCTGTTCCTCTATCCCTCGAATCTCCACTGTGACCTTCCCGCAGTGTGTTTCTGCCTTTTCTTAATTTACCTCCAAAGCCTGTTTTCAGGCACAGATCTGGTGACCCTTTTAGGCATACACAAAAGGCATACATGGATGTAAAATGTTCACTGCTTTAACTGGTTCTAAACCCAAAGAAATTACGTTGGGATAGTGAAATTGTAGGCGTGGGGAAGACTTGGGTCCTGTCTGTTTTCCTGCAATCATTTCACAAGTGTGGCTGTGTATGTGGGGCAGCCTCTGAATCATCTTGGAGGAAGGTCTTTTTTTTAGCTCATCATGAAGTTCAGGCACCAGAGGCCAGCACTTCTAGGAAAGACTGATACTTTTGGCCTTTATTGCTTCCAGGAAATATGTATCCCTTTAGCCCTTGGGTATATTCAGATGGCTGAGAAAATAATGTTATTCAGTTTGATAATATTGGAAAACAAAGCAAAGAAAACAAAACTCATAATTTTTTCTACTAGGATCACTGACTAAGTATTAGGTTGTTGCAATTTTGAGCTAACACTGATAGGTTTTATAATCATTTTTTTAAAATGGCTTTGCTCCAGCCTCTAGCCTCCAGCCCCTCCTTTTTTTTTAATTTAAAAAATGCTAACTATGTAAAACATTCTTTATTAATGAGCAGGCAGAAAGGACACTCGACTCGAGCTTAATGTTTCTCCAAGGCTGAAGAAATGACATGTGAATGAAAATCATTACCAATGATGAAGATATACTGAAATAAATGTATTTTTTAAAATATTCACTGAATTATCTGTAACATTGTCTGGACCTGGAGAGGCAAATGCCATTTTGAAAAATGATGCATGAGGCTGAGGAGAATAATTCTGTTCCCATATGTTTTCCTCTACAGATTGGATGTTGGATGGATTAAAAACCAGAGGAGAAGCTGGGAAGGTAAAGATTGCTTATTACATTCTGATATCTAATTGCTCAGGGGCATGGAGACTCACATGTAGAAATGGGGACAAGACAACCTGCCATCATCCCTTCCATAGGTGGTATAAAAAATTAAGTGGATATATTTACAAAACTTCTCAATGATAAATAAGCAAATAAGCATATTTATGTGACTTCTCAATGACAAATAAGCAGCATGTATGTTTCCTTATTATTCATTATTTTAGTTTTTAGTATTTTAATCTTTGTAAATTGTAGTTACTGAAGGAAAATTGTTTATTTTCTCTCCTACATCCTTACTTGGCCTGTGACCCTCCATTTCTCTGGGTGTTGAATGATGGATTATGTGGGAAATAATCCATCATTCTTTTTATAAAGATTCTGCAGTCAAAGGAAAACTATGAGCATATTTGGCCCAGCACAATTTAATTATGCATTAACTACATCCCAGAATACTCAGCCATAAATTCTATAGAGCCAACAGGATCTGCTACGTCTCTTTGCCAGGTTACAGATAAAGTGTATTAAAATCAAATCTCCTTTACATTCTGCAGTCAAAGGAAAACTATGAGCATATTTGGCCCAGCACAATTTAATTATGCATTAACTATATCCCAGAATACTCAGCCATAAATTCTATAGAGCCAACAGGATCTGCTAAGTCTCTTTGCCAGGTTACAGATAAAGTGTATTAAAATCAAATCTCCTTTACATTAAAAAAGATTACTCATTTGGATACTTACACGTGTTAAAGACACCAGCAAAAACCCAGCACTGGCCATAGCTGACTGGACTCCCAGAGCTGTGGTATTCCAATAGGATGTCAACACTTCCAGTCCAGGCTGATGGTGGGACGCCATAGGCATAGATATTGTCCCAGGATCCAACGATGACACCTTCATCATCTTTGGCATTAAGCTGAATGAAGCATGAGATGTGAGAAGGAAGAAAGTTCATTCATGTGAGCTCTTTTCAGACTATGGCATCGGGCAAGCTAAGGCTTCCAGTGCTTTCCATATGCCATACACGGGGAAACCATTTCACTTCTGTTCAGTTTACTACTTTGTTGTCAAAGAAAATAGTGCAAAAACAAAGTGTGCGAGGGGAGAGCAAATAACCAAGCCTGCCTCTTCAATAGCATATTATTGGAGTGAGGTGAAGTTGAACAGGAGATAGAAAGAGGCATGACGTCTTCTCCACATGGTCAGGAGAAGATACACATGGGGCACCTGATCTGGGCCAGGACAGTGCTGGAGGTGGATGTGAGGAAGAGAGGGGGACCTGCAAGTGAAAAAAACTCAAGTAGGAATTTTGTCTCAGGGGGAAGAAAACTCAAAACTGACAGTTGAGAAATTAATGGTCTAATGGGTTTTGACTTTTATGACGAGTGGTAGAGTCTAGTGGATTAAAAAAAGAGATATTGTCATAGGAACCATTAAGAATTAATAAGAAAATAGATTCCCATGGGTACCTTACAGAATTTTTTTTTATTTCATTAAAGAAGTATTTTCTTTATAATTGTTTAAAGTGATCCAAGTCTTATAGTCTTGTTAAGAGGTATTTCTACTCATATCAAGGACCTGGGATGTTGTGGTTTAAATATGAAAGAGGTTGAAGCAGAATATGGCAACCTTGAGTGTTTGGGCAAACCTTGCTATACACGTTCAGGCTACCATCATCTAAGAGCAGCAGACCTAAAATGCAGGAACAAACACTTCGTGTTTAGGCAATAAAGCAAAGGCTGAGAAGTAACAGTTTTGAGGCATCCTGCCACTTTTTTCTGGGCACTGCTGAATCTACCTCTCTCAGTATAACCTTCATCATGTTTAATTATAGCCAGATCAGTCTGTGTGGGGAGCAATGGGAGTTTTTCCAAAAACTGGAGCCACTTCAACAATTTTTACAGTTGACATGACAATGGTTTAGAGCCTTGCTACTCAAAGTGTGGTCTGTGGGCCGCAGTATTGACATTCCTTGGAGTTGTTAGAAATGCAGAATCTCGGGCCCCTCTTCAGGTCTACAGAATGAGAATCTACATTTTAATAAGCTCCCCAGGTAATCTGTGTACACTTTAGTTTGAAAAGCATTGACTTGGGTTACGCTGAAAAGACATTAGTAAGCAATGTGAAACGTGATCGATGCATGCATGTATGGATTATAAAAATAATAGAAAAGTATTAAAATATAGTGAATTTTATGTGTTTGCTGCCTCACCAACTAGCAGCTCAGCTTCAGCACCTGCCCAGACTCCTCTCTTTGAATTGCTGTGTTTAGCTGTCAAGGAGTCTGTCTTCCATCCTGACTCATGAGTTCATTGAGAATAGAGATAAAATCTACATCTTTTTGAATCCTAGCAAGTGTGAGCAAAGAGTTGGTACTCAACGATTGTTCAATAATCACTTATACATTCAACAAGCACATAGGCATTGTCCATCTCAAGAAGAACAAGACCTTTTTCCTGCGGAGAGATGGACAAGAAACCAATCAAGTGGAAGTGGACGTTATTGGTATTAAGACAGAAAGATGTACAGGTAGAGTGGGGGCCCAAGGGAGGCAGTTGGGTAGAGGAAGACAGTGGTGGTGTTGTTGGGTGCTTAACAGAGAAGATGACATGCAAGCTAGGTTTTGAGGGGCTGAGGGCCAGGAAACGTCCTTTACATAATGGAAACAGTTTGAATAAATGCTTGGTGTCATGAAACAATATGGCAGGTTCAGGGACCTGTTGGGAGCTTTGCATGGGTATCTTGTAAGCAGGCAATATTGAGTAAAATAGAAAATTCTAAACCAAAAACCTAAGCAGTGCTAGCATCTTCTAATGTAAACGACAAACTCACCACTGAAATGTGAGACTTACCCTAGCACCAAGTGGCATTTTTCCAGACAGAGTCCTTCTGGGGAGCATTGTCTAGAAGATTGTTAGTTAACTTGATTAAGACGTACTACTTATATTTTTCCCCTTTGATTCTGTGTCCAGTCAGGTTAAAGTGAAGAAGAATTTTAGCGACTATCCAGTTAATTTGTTCAATGTAGGAAAAAAAAATTCTTTTGAGGTTTCTGAAAGACCTTGTTCAGCTAATTACAAACTCATGCCTTTAATGTAAACTTTGACTTTAGCCTGTAGATCCAGGAGATGACTGGGGTGCAGCGAGGTTTATCCAACCATTCTGGTTCTACTCATGACCAATACTTCTCCTTGCAGTTGAACTGATTATTTAAAAATCTGCATCTATTATAATGAAGCCTGAAGAGTGTCTTGGTAGGCTATAACATGGGGGTAGGTAGAGACAGCTTTGAACTCACATCACCAATCCTTTATTACTGAGAAATAGAATAGGCTCTATGAATCTCAGAGGTAAATTTTCCTAAACTGTGTTTCTGATAGCTGAATTCAAACAGATAGTCCTTAATCAGAAGGGCTATTTATAGCAAAAGTCTGAGCCCAATCAGTGGAGGGCAAGAGTAAGAAAAAAAGCTCTTTCCTCTACAGGCCTTTTAATTGTTAATGCTGAGCTTGTTCCCCTGTTGCTAGATAAATCACAACTCTCATTTATTAGCATTTGGCCAGATTAGCTACTGTTTTTAAATTAGAACATTGATTGCTGGGGAGCTCAGACACTGAACGAAATAAGTCTTTAGTGACATATGTAAAGGGTTAAAGTAGCATCTCCCTCCCCAGACAACAAGATATGTTTGGGGGACACTTCAAGGGCATGCTGGTTATTTTTCATCCTACAATTGGCTGTCTTAACACCCTATTGTGAATTCAGGTTTTTACTCAGGTGTTACTGGGTTTTACCAGTAGCAGAATGAAATGTCTTAGTCTTGGGTCCCTGGTGGTCAAGTATGATCTCAGGACTATGGACAAGGAGTATTATTCAACTTCATTACGGTTGCACTAAATTGCCCTTCCACAATACCTACAGAATTGGAAAAATAAAAAACCAGCCCTCCCTCCCTTAGAAGTTACTATCAGCAACCTCAGTGGTATAATATAATGCAATAAACTTAAAAACTTGGTGTCCAGAAAAGATAAGGATTAGGGAGTGAAGCACAGAAGCAGTGTGGCTCAGCTCCTAACCCTAACCACCAGTTCTTCAGAAGCTTTACTGACAAGTCAACAGGATCCTGAGATTTCTCATGCATATTTCAAAATCTGGAAAGAAACTAACTGGATTGAAATGCTGGTCTTTTTCTTGTTCTGACTAGAATAGTGGAAATGACTGCTATGGAGAAATGGGTGAAAAAAGGTATGTGCCTCAAAAGAGGTAGAGATTCTGGGACTCCAATGAGGAAAAAAGATGCAAAGCCTCCCATGAGGATGAGATGTGCCTTCAATTAAGGGGAGTGGGTTCTAAAATAAGACATTTAAAAGAACATGAAAAGAAAAAGCAGAGCCCAAGCATTCCAACCAAGATTGCCCGTCTCCTCAGGTAAAGTAACTTTCTTGCTCCTCTCTCTCTCAGGGCACTGAAGAGTAGGTAGAACAAAGCACATCTGCCTGGACTGCAGATCAGAGGAGAAATCAGATCCTAGATGGAGAAGAGATTCAAGATCTCATCTATTAGAGCAAATAAAATACCTGGAGAAGAGCGATGCAAGTATGAGCACGTATAAAAGGAAAAGCAGCAGCATGGGAGAAGGGGAGGGATGGGTGGGACAGAGAGAAAGATCATTAAAAAATTATACACAGAACAAAACAAAAGTAAGAAGCATAAAGAATTTTTTCACAATCTTCTAGGAGATCTCAGACCTAAGGGAACAAATTGAGGAGCAAATCATATCATTACAGAACTAATACACAGAACAAAACAAAAGTAAGAAGCATAAAGAATTTTTTCACAATCTTCTAGGAGATCTCCGACCTAAGGGAACAAATTGAGGAGCAAATCATATCATTACAGAACTAACAATAAGTTATAAACTGCAAGAAACAGAATAGATGCTGCTAAAAATAAAATCATTCACATAAAAGGAAAGCTTGAGATAATAAAAAGTGCTGATGAAAAAGACAAAGAGATGAAGTTATTTAGAGAAGCTAATAGTTATGGAATACAAAGATGATACAGCCTAAGGATAATTGGAATCCTTAGAATAGAGAATCCAATAAATAAAACAGAAGATATACTGATGATATAAGAAAATTTTACTTAATTGAGGAAAAATTGAATTTATACATTGAAAAAACAATCTGTGGTCCAGGGTGATTTGATGCAGAATGCTCACTGCCTAGGAATTTTAATTAATTTGAACTTTAGGATGAAAACATAATTGTTCAGTCATCTAGACAGAAAATGCACATTAGCAACAAGCAATAGAATTGGGCTGCTTTCAGACTTCCTCAGTGGCAAAGTATCATTCAGTGGCAAAACATTGCCAATCAATATTCTCATAGTCTTGAAAGAAAGAAAGGCTGACTCAAGAATATCATGCACTAAAGGCAAACATGAAAGATCTCAGAGGATGTAGCAGCCATCATAACCAAACTAACTGATAAGTGATTAAAGGCTGAATCAAACAAGGAATCCAGGAACAGAGACTCTATGGGAGAAGATTCACTGTTGTGAAAAAATGCATATAAGTATCTTTCGGAGTTATAGTAACAGAATGAATTTCAAAACTTGATAATGTAAAAACAATAATCACCCTAAGAAAAAATTAGACATGAGTGAGAAAAAAGAGGAAGAATAAAAATTTTAATATGTTGGTCTTTCATAAGTAATTGACACCATCTAAAATTAAACATAATTTAAAATATAGAATTACTTAATTCTTTGAATGGCTTTCATAAGTTTTTAATAACCTTAGAGGGATTCGATTTTTTCTTCTATTAAAGTAAAATTTAACAAAATTAACTAGAATTTGAGTATAATTAAATGCAATTTAAATTTAAATAAGATGACACAATTTGGCATAAATAC